AAACAAATACTGTATGAACTCACTTAAATGTGGAATCTAAAAAAAAATCCAAACTAATAGATAGAGAGAATGGATTGATAGTTGCCAGAGGCAGGGGTTGGGGGTGGATGAAATGGGTAAAGTTGGTTATAAGATAAATTAAGTCCTGGGGGTAAGACTTACATATACAACACAGTAACTTTTAAAAAATAATAATTTCAGTCATTGGGAAAATTACTTATGTGCCCCACTTTGTTCCCTCTCAAGGTCTGATTTTGTAGTATTCTTGTTAGAAGACCCCTAATTTCCAACTAGAATGTGTCCAAGAGTTTCATTGGTGATTTGGTTATTCAGAATGAAAAACTACATTTTTCCATATGAATCTTGTCATTTGTAATGTTAACCTTCTTAAGCGAACAAAAAAATCAATTTAACTATTGGGATAGCTGATCTATAAATGGAACTGTCAGTGTTTTAAAGTTCCCAGCTACTTATTAATCTAACAATCTTGTCCATAGGAAAAATTCAGTCTTATTATGAGTTCCAAATTACACCCATAGGATGTAGGAAACAATGTATCCTTAGTAGCAGGATGTGGAATTATTTATTTCCCATTTCAGCCCACTGAGCAATGGCAGCAGGGCGTTTCATGGGACCATGATGTTTGAAGAGGCTGTGGCAGGGAAATGCAGGTGGTAGGGGGGTGGGTGAGGGTTCATTGGGAACTTGTCTTCTCAAGTGGCAGAACAGCCTGTATCTGAAGGTAGAAAAAGGAGTGAAACTTTGGATGATAGGAAGGGAGGTGAGGTAATGCTAGAGCTGTGGCTCAAAAAATATGTTCCTTTATTACGCCATATAGAATTCAAGGACTGCCTGCTTTAGTGAAGGATAACTGAAATTTCAGCTGAAATGTTTTATTTCAAATACAACTCAGTTTATGGCTTGTGATTTTATTCATGTTTTCAATATGTAAATACAAATATTAAATCTTGCCAAAAACATTTTCTTCATATTGGTTGACCCACAGAGTAACTAACATTTTCATTGCTAACTAGGATTTTAAACATCTGTGAAAATTGATAGCATGTCATCCTTAATTACAATGAATAGCAACTGCTTTTAAATTTAGAATATATATATATAAAATACGAAAGTGGTATTTTATGACATATAACTGTCTCTCTACTTGTACTCTCCATTCAGTCTATTCCATACTGTTTTCAGATTAATCTCTCAAATGGGGTGCTGTTTTATGTTATTTGCTATTTATTCAAGGTGGTGTATAATTCAGTCCCACCTGAATTATCAAACCTTTTCTCCCACTAAAGTTGTGCGAGAATTCTGTTCTTCTTTCCCATGGATTCTTTACTGTTCCATGAATAGTACACACCACTCTAATTTCTTACTTTCAGGCTTAGCTGGTGCCGATCTCTTTTCTTCATCCTTACCCCTCAGTCCCAGTCGTTTATTAGAATTCTAGCCAAGTTTCATAATGCCTGCCAATTATTTTTGCATATAACATTTAGTCTTTGTTCTATACATATTGGCATTTAATTATATAGCATTTATAGTGATCTCTAATTGTAATATAAATCTTGTTCAACTTTATTGGAAATTTCTTGTTATACAGAGAATGAATTTCAATGTTAGACATTGAATTACACCTAAATACTTGCTTTTAATTTTAATTATCCCTTTGACTATTTAAGATAGATTTTGGGGTGTGTTTATGTTGCTCTGGAATTTCAAAGATCTTCATATCCTGCTAATCTTAAATGGCATGACAATCTAAGATGAAACTCTATCATATTTTTAGCATAAATTTTACCCAAAGAATTATAAGTTTGACTTGCTCTAAAAAGTCATCCGAAGTTGAAAAAATATTCCCCCATCATATCATAATGAATTATCGTGGCATCGCCTGAAAAGTTTGTTAGCTGAGTTCAACAACGTTTGTGCTTATTGTAGTGCATACTGGTCACAACAGCTCTCTGATTCAAATAAATGAGGGAAGCTGTCAATGGGGCAAAGATCAATTCCAAAGATTTTAATAAATATGCCTGATATCCTAGGCAGCCTTGCCATTGATAAATCAGTACATTTGCCTTCCTGGAATTCCTGCCTCCCATATTTCTAATGCATCAAGATTAAAATAGGGTCCCAGGTCTGTGTTCTCAGTTTTACTATTGTTTAGTTTAAAACTAGAAAGTTTAGAGGATTGAAATGTAAATGAGATAAGGTGTAAATGGGGGAACTCTTAGTTGGCCAGTGTGGGTTGAAAGGGGAATTTTTCTTTAAACCTTAAAAGAGCTGAGCTTCAGAGTTATCATCAACATCTAGGCATTTTATATTTGAAGTGACTAGCACCCTTCCCAATGACAGTCAACTCACAAAGACAGTCATGTACCTCAAAAGAGTTGAATCAGGTGAAATTAAAAAAAATGTCCAGATATGATTTCACTAATTCATTGGCAAAGAAAAGCAGATATGCTTTATGTATATATACATGCACAAGAGTGCAAACAGGAATGAAACTATACTGATTCATTTTACACTACCTGTAAGATCTGATTGATTTCTATCATTTTAAATAAGAAGTAACTTAGGTATGTGTGTGATTGGAGGTAGTGTTCTTCCATCATGTTCAAGTTGGAGTGGCAAAATTTTTGTTCAGTATCAGCTTTGATCTTTCTGATAGAGATATCTAACAAAGGAAGTAGCTCTTTGGCATTATAACTGTTCAAATAATATTTGTGTGCCTATTTTATAGATTTCAGACTATTGATGGCCTTCAAAGACCCTTCCCTCTCATTCTCTAATCTAAGATTCTACTATAAGTTATTTTTGGAGCAACATCCACAGAGACACATTTCCCTGAGCAGGGAGGCACAAAGTTGGTGTTTGTTGGTGGAGGGGTCCTTCATGTCCAAATACCTTGCAGTTTATATCTTCATGTATAAGTTAATTGAGAAGAGTGACACAATTGGATCCCAAGAAAGGTTAGGTGCTTTGAAAGGTATGGGAAGACACCTCTATACTAGGATTGTAATTATAGATGAAGGTATTTTCCTTTATGGAAGGTTTAAGAGTCCTGAGAAGACTGTAAGCTCTTTTCCTTCTGTAGAGAAGAAAGATCCTTAAGGGCCTGTGTTGGCTGAGCAGGCCTGCTCTCATAAGTATGCCCTCCTCTCACCACAACACTATAAGCTGGGTACCAAATAGCCAATCATATGATATGCAGGGTTGCATTATTTAAAGCTTAGTGTAATGGCCAGAGAAAGCCTGTGTTAACAGCATCCCAATTTTCAGGGTCCCAGGTGCCCAATTCTGTACTGTTTGTGGTTTAGCCTCATCTGGTAGCAGTTATCTGTACTGGCTTAACATTGATGGAGGAAATTTGATTCTGATAGAAGAGTGTATTATCCCATTATTATTCCACAAGCAGTGAACATAAGGTCAGAGTCCCTGAAATTTGCAGATTGATCCAGCAACTCTAGCCACAATCTCAGGATGAAGGTAAACTGGATGTTCTCCAAAGAGAGTACAAGAGGGATGACATAACACTAATCCTCCCAACCTGAGAAGAGGGTTTATATCTGAGAAAGAATTAGCATACAGTGAAACCTGCAATGAAGGAATTCCTAGCTCTTTTTCTTAGGGCTGAGGTTTTTATGTTCTTGGAGGAAGGAGTAATGGTAAAGAGGAGGATTGGGAAGGATGGCCAAGTGTTTGCATTGAAATGGCAAGCAATCCTACCCCAGGAAACCTGGAGTTGCAGAGTGAGCTTCACTCCTAGTATTTTCCTGGCTCATTCTCTCCAGATGGGCCAGTGAAGTGAGCACCAAATAAACAAGAGATTCCTACAGTTGCTTCCACTTCTCAAGAAGTCCCAGCCATCTACCTGACTCAGAATCAAATTTCCTCCATCAATGTTAAGCCAGTACAGATAACTGCTACCAGATGAGGCTAAACCACAAACAGTACAGAATTGGGCACCTGGGACCCTGAAAATTGGGATGCTGTTAACACAGGCTTTCTCTGGCCATTACACTAAGCTTTAAATAATGCAACCCTGCATATCATATGATTGGCTATTTGGTACCCAGCTTATAGTGTTGTGGTGAGAGGAGGGCATACTTATGAGAGCAGGCCTGCTCAGCCAACACAGGCCCTTAAGGATCTTTCTTCTCTACAGAAGGAAAAGAGCTTACAGTCTTCTCAGGACTCTTAAACCTTCCATAAAGGAAAATAGTGAGGAGGTGATGATGAGAGAAAGCATCTGTGGAATACAACACACCTTTTTACAAGACAGGGTGTTGAGTGGAAGTGGCACTATCTGAGAAAAACTTAGAGGTTCCTTGGTGAAACAGAATTTGGGTGGGGCTCCAGGATTTTAGTGGAAATGAACCAAGGAGAAGGTGAAGACAGATCAGATAAACTGCAGGGCCAGGCTATGGTTTTGTTTTGTTTTTTTCATTAGGCTTGTTTTTTTCAATCTGACTGTGGTGTTTAATTAGGCTGTAATGGATATTTGGAAGTACATGGAGTTTGGAGTTTCTTTGAGTCAGAGTAGATATATGCCCCTTCCATTTTCTTTTTGTTCTCCAATGAAGGCAGTTCTAGAAGAAAGAATAGATATTCAGGAAAGATTTTCCAGTTCTTGATTCACCACATTTTTCCTGCTTTCCAGTACAATGCTTCCTCCTGGAAGCATGGTCAGTAAGCACACAGAGCCAGGAAAAGACAATTGAGCATGCTTCAGCAGAACAACTGAGGACATGAATATTGGCCTGTTTAAGTAGGTGAACTGAACTAAGATGTATGTTCATATTTGTTTGGAAATAACCAAACCAGAGTAAGATTTGCAAACACCTTAGTTCCTACATTTTGATTTGCACTCCAGCTCTACTTCAATGAATGCAGTTGGAAATTTGAAAAAAAAACTCAGCAACAATTGATAAAGTCAAAATGCTTTTATTATACTGAAGTTTAACAAGTACATTTTTAACAAAGAAGGTGTACTTAAACGTAATATATGGTAGAACAGAGAAACCATACATATGTTTCTAGTCTCTAACACACTACTGCATTTTGTTTTCCCTTAAAAGACAAAAAAGCCAAGCTGAAGTGAGCATAGAAAAGCATCAAACATGATCAAATTATTTTAGCCATTAGGATTTAGCTCATATTCTTAAACTGATCAATCTAACTCAAGGACAAAGTTTACATCATTGCTTTTAAAATGTACACATGTTGCTTTTTCTTTTAAACATAATATAGATTAAATAGCTGCTTCAGTAAATAAAGCTTTGTTGATAAACACAATTGAAACAACTCCATGTTGAATAGTTTCTGAGATAAACTGGAATCACAAGCATCTTCATTTATGTAAAGCCAGCGAGGACCTTTCAGGCTGAATAAAACTGTTGTGCCATTGCTAAACAGTAAAAGTTACCTCCTTTAAAAAAAAGAAAACAAGTTAGTTCTGAGGAATAATTCTGATACGTGCTTAAAAATACTAAACTTCTATCTTCAGGAACCTAAATTATCTATTGTAATAGGCTTGATTTAGTATAAGTAAAAATTTAAATTTCTTAACATTTCTAAATGTTAAAGTGTCAGTTTTCAAAGATCCTTCAAGTTTTGTGCTACAGCTTCTGTTCTTTCTACAGCACTGAAGACATCAAAGACTGGTAAGACTTTTCATAAACTATGGTGTCTATGGTTATCTACATTAACTTTTCCTTTTGTACATAATGGTATGTTTGAGATTCCTACAGTTTACCAAAACAGGGATAAAAGAGTATCTGGTTATGATCTAAGGTGAGGACAGCTTTGTACATTTAAAATTTCCTCTCCCCAGGTTAACCCTGAAACTGTGACACTAGGGAGACTAGTTCTGAATGTATTTTAACCACAGTGTTTGTTCAAACCAATATCTATTTAAATGCTGGCAATTAAAAGAATCTGTATCACCCATATCTGATGGTGTGAGTAAAAATGATAGTTGGAAACAATTTTCAAAAACGACTCTACCTCTTTTTGTCTAACATTGCTCTTTGCCATAGTCATGGCTTACAGCCTGAGTCTCTATCCAGCTACTTCATAAAAACTGGCCTTTGGTCACAAAAGAAGAACCAGGAAAGAAGCATGGATGGTCAGTACAAATCCATCACCCATGCTAAAGAAATACCTAAATTCTATGTTCGTCCAATGTATCATCTTCACATATAAAGGAGAGTATGGTATCATTTTTGGGCTGATAAGCCTAATCTCAAATATCAGTTCGGTCTAGTCAAAGCTTAGCGTTGTCAGGAGGAAAATATACCCTTTCTAAGCCTAGTGTATAAAACGTTTAAAATATTGATTTTTTTCTGTGTAGAAAGTATTGTGACAAGCCAGTGGAATTTACTGGATAATACCTCAAAACTGAAAATAAAGATGTGGTAAAGTAATAGAAGAATAAGGGAATTTGGGTTTGTTAGTCAGATAACGTGGAGAGTCAGACTTCACTAGAGGGCAACCAGGGATTTTACTGAAGAGCCTGTGGATTCACCTGAATTTATTCCAGGGAGTGAAGAAAACAAAACTTGACTTTTTGGTAATTGTCTAGCAGCCTGTCACCCCAGCAAATTAGTCTGTCACCCCAGCAAATTGTTCAGACTCTTTCATGGCATCTGATAATATTTATTCTGGTAAAATTCACCGGATAGTTGCTCAGTTTTCCAGTCTACCTCATCCTCTTGTATATACAGCCTAAATGTCAAAAGAAATCTCTTCAGCATCAAAGGGCAAACAGTCATTTTACTAGGATTGAAATTTATACAATATAGCTAAAGCTTAAATCATGCAGTACAAATTGTGAACATTATAAACTTGAAAGCAATGTCAAAACAAAATAATAATATACTATAAAAAAGTATATAAACACAGTAACAAAGGGCAAAAAGCAATCACCATTTATCCTTTAGCAAAATGCAGTTTCTGAAAAATCTCCCTCCTTTATTATGTTTAATTATTTTCTTTACAAAAAGAGACAAACGTATCTGCCCACACCCTTCATTAAATCTGCTGGTTTACAAGGCCTATCAGGAACTGTTTCTGCGGCAGCTCAAAAATCTAAAGAAAAACTAAGCCAGCAAGAAGACAGTATTAAAATAAATCAATTTTTAAAATCCAGAATACAATAAATTGAAATTTCATAGGAGTAAGGCATATTTTCCTAATTTAGAGCATAGTAGCAAAATAGAGTCTGTGTGGCATGCTGTACAATGTTGACAACAGCTTCTGTTACTGTTTTACATCTGCCAGTACTGAGTGATCATAAGGGAGGAGCCAATATCCACCTGCTAACTGACACTGTGGAGCAGTCTCAAAGTTTGCCACATTTCAATTTCAAAATGCATTTCAGCTATAATATGAATGATTTATCATTTAGTAGTAGCTGTCAAAGTAAACTCCTAGATAAAACAAAAACATCTGGAACCATAAACAGAGGAGTGCAGTAGCTGAATTTTAATCCAAACTCGGCGTGCTCACTTCATTAGGAACAGGAAACAGCTGATTAGTAACTAAATGTTTCATGTTTTTAAGAGGGTTTGTACTTGAGCTCCAAACAGAGATGAACTAATATGCATTCCGGATATAAACAAGATTAAAGATCAGGAAGAACATCCAACAAACTGTAGCCAGAGGAATGTTAGGGAGCTCGGGAACTTAAAAAGAGTGACACACACTGACATTTGGGGAGAGCTAACAGAATTTATTGCTTTACGATTTGTCAGGTAAGTAAATGGGGGAATTCAATATACACAAATGTGACCATTTAAAAAATTACAACGAAGGCCCATGTAGTCCTTCCCTTAGCACAGCACTGCCTGACATGGGCATACCCCATGGCTCGGGAGCCTAGTGACAAGCCTCTGCTGATCAGTTGAATTATCTTTAAAGGGCCACACCTGGCTGTTCCAAACTCCAATAAGTGTGTCTTGCCTTCTGTGATATGTCTCTGAAGCTTATGAAAGGAAAAAACTAAAACCAAGTGCCATAACCAAGGCAGATATGTGGGAAAAGGCTCAGAAGAAAACACATGAGGATTTCTTACAGTTCAACCAAAGTCAGTTAAATATATCTATTTGTAAAAAGAGACTAGTTTGTTTTTAAGTGATTTAATTTGAAAATGCTGTTTCATTTTCCCTCTACTTTAATATCTGCTACTTAACAATCAAATAATGAGACATTTCTGCATGTAATATTTTTAGTCACACCTCTTTGTTATTGAATTCAGGTTTTGATAATAAGAACATTTTTTTAAGTTTTATAAATTTTTATTTGCCTCAGTCCTTCTGTGTGACTTATTTCTAATTTGGTATTATTTCACTGAATTAGGTCAAAGCAGCACATCTGCTCTACACAAGACACCTTTCTACAGTCTGCAGAGAGCACCAGAAGCCAAACCTCTGTGCTTTAGAACAAATTCCTTCAGAGCATGGGATAGCTGGAATGTCACATTGATAGGATCCAATGTAATACTTTAAAATGTATAGGGTAGGTGGCCATTCCAACAGAAATTGCTTGTACTGCCACAGGGACCTGATTATAGGAGAATGGATAAACATTCAGTTGGCCTTTTGCATAAGACACGTGGTGCTTCTGTCACATCGGAACTTAATTCTAGGGCAGATGTAAAAACAGCATGATGAATTAGATTTCACTTGGTGTAAGGAGAGCTCTTTAGGGGGGGCATTAAATTATTTCGATTACTAGAGTACCATTTAATACACTGGAATACTGCTCTGTTAGATTTTAGAAGGCATTAAAATAATGAGGACAGGTATTTGCCACCAGCCTTTGGCCAGGTATCCATTAAGTAAACGGTTAAAAATATTTGAGGTCATTTTCTGGGCAGTTTAAGGCAAGTGACCCATTTGGTTCTAATCACTGGAACGTCTTAGGCATCTGGCCATGTCTAGATCAGAGAGTGAGCAGTGGGAAATATCCACGTGACTGACCCATCATATCTGCCTGTCTCCTTTCTTATGTCTACATGCTTTTCAGTCTGTTTGCTTATTAATAGCTTAATAAGGAGGAAGAAGGACCGGAGGTGGGAGGAGAACAGAAAAGAATAAAAGGGGTATTTTCAGTAGCTCCGTTATATGTTTTTGTCATTGCCTCTTTACAGATAAGGAATGTGCTTGTAGAAAGGGATTAAATGATTTGCTCCATCACCAACAGATCAAAGAACCAGGTGTGGTAAAATCTACAAACTAGAACTCTCTATATTCCCTTAGAAAACACTACAGGCAACATGTTTCTTTTAGAAGGGTAAGAGCCAAAGCAGTGGTAACAAATATTGATCATTTACACAAATGAATTACCTTCTTACGTAATTCCTGTTAAATCCCAGGCCAGCCAAATCTAAAGCTATTTCATAGTAATCACGGCTTAAAGTGGGTGTGTCTGCATTTAAATTTCTGTCAAACCGTTTAGAAATAGCATTTTCTCTGTCTTAAAAAGTCTTCCACCTACTTACCCCACTAGGATGCTGTGTGGATTAATGTGATAATGTTTGCAAAGCACTAAGAACTCCATGAAAGAAAGGGATTTTAGAAATGTAAAGTATCATGTTCAATCATCATAATTATCCTCTAAAAATCTGTGAAGCCCATTCTCTAGCACATTTTTTCTATAAGTGCAGGGTTCTACTTTAATGAACAAACAGTTATCGAAGGTTTTGTATTTTAAGTATTTGAGTATGAATTCTAAAGAATTACAACATTAGATAAGCAGGTAACAGCTACAGCACCCTATTCATGCCTATGATCAGTTGGAGTTCCGGCATCAGTGTTCAGGCTGCACAGAAAAAACAACAAGACCTGGTCAAAATTTCATCCCAACAAAGAAAATCCAAAATCTACTCAATGAACTTCACTGAAAACCACAAATTGGCTTTATAGTATTTTGTTGTGCTATATATGTTCAAGATTTGAATAAATCTGTATGCAATAAATGTATTATTTTATTAGACTTATTCCTTAATCATACATTCACTGATGTGAGTCTCATTCTATTAAAACAGAAATTATACAAAAGTGAGCAAAGCTGTAGATTTACAGTAGTTTAAAGCTTAATCTTATTATCTGGAGGTGATATTGACAATAAACAAAGTGGTATAAATGATATTACCTAACTCTAAAATATGCTTATGAGCCCCTTCTACATGTTCTACTGCTTTACAGCCTGCAGTGAACTGCATGACTAGCTTAATGAGCAAGGCATTTAGAAAGGTTTTTTCCTCCCCATTCACAGTCTGAAACATTAGTAAAGAGCCACACCATTTTCTTTGAGTCAAAATCTTTGTTAATTGCAATTTCCCCTGGGGATGAGATTTCCTTCCCTGATGTGATGGTTATTTAAAGTAACTTCACACTATTTCTTTTTTAAAACTACCAAAAAATGAGTTTATAATGCTTTTGAGGGCTCATGTTTTCTTCAATTGTTTCCTCACCACTTATTCACTTATATAAACAATGGGATTTCCTTAAGTACTAATAGGCTTCATCACAAGCATACCTGGAGCTATCAAACCTTTCTTTGGAAGTAGCTCACTTATTCATGAACTAATGACAATAATTTATAAATGATTTCTCCAGCTAAATATTAAGTTTTATGTTTCCTTTAAGTTGCTTAATTAGTGATGTGTTTCTAATTTTCAAATAGGCACTATGTTATTTGGCACTAAAGAAAATTATATCTGAAACATGATGTTTTCCTAATCTGAATAAGAGAAATACTGGTTAATGTTTCACTTCAGTCTTAGGTTCAATCCAATAAATGTACAATTGACTCTATGAACTCTACCTCAAATGTGGAAACATGTTCAGAATGTGATGTTCTTGAATCAAATAAGCAACAGTAGTGTGGTTGGTTTGGGGTCATTAGTTATTAGTACAGTAGGATGAATATGGAGCTATAATTTAAAAGTGGGAAAGTATACCACTGCAAGACAGGGGTAGATAATAAAATACTAAGCATTTCATTCCTCTCTGTCTAGATAAAAGTACTGGTTTAGAGTCATTTTTCAGAAGGGTCTGGTGCTTATTTTTACAACATGGCACTTTTTTAAAAAATGGAAGTTTCTTGAAAATAATAACCAATTGAACTTATTAGTCCTAAAAGCTTTCTGATTTATATTTTAATCAAGTCACAGACCAGTACAGGTTGTCTTTTCTTTGCAAATGCAATCATGATGGCATATCAACTTCTCTTGTTTGCTTTTAACTCACTTTGTTTTTGTGACTTCTTTCATATACCCTATTCCCCCTTATCTAATCTCTGGTTCTTATAAGACCCACCCTAACAGAAGTATGGATACCCTTCTATTCTCATACGGAGAAAAAATATAGAGATATATTTGCCACAACAATATACGAAAGAGCATATTTTTAGACAAATTTTATACATGAATTATATGCCAAATGTAAAATGCCCCTACTAAAATCTACATATGCAAACACAAATGCAAGCACAAATATTACTATGCCCTACAAAATCTGTATTTTGTAGGGCATAGTAATAATGATATCTTGTACATGTCATACTTGTCAGAGGGTATGGATCCAACTTACTGATGAGGAAGAACAGGCAAATATTACTATTTTACTAAACTTAAGGCAGAGAGAGAGAGTGAATGACTTCTCAAGGTTAGTGTCTGAGTTAGCCAGTTGGTGACAGAGAAGCCCTGACTACTAGACCAGTGTTCTACCACTTCAATGAACTTGCCATAGAAGTTACAAAATGGCAATGAAAGTGCATGTGCTCAATCATAGGCCCACAACTTTGAGCCCCACTAATAGCTCTAGGAGCACTTGAATTTTAATTTTCAGTAGGGAAGAGAAAGGAAGGGAAAGGAGAATGAATAAAAACTAGTATTTATGGAAAACTGACTGTGGTAGGAGCCATACTAAGGCATCCTATGCACTTATGTAATATGTAGAATGCCATATTGTTTCCACTACTTCTTTCTCATGGGGAAATATGATAAATTGCTTATATTTCTATGCCAGTCCTATAAAAGAAATCTCAGGTTGTGGCACCTAACTTCCATAAACAAGTTACAAAATACTTCAAAGAGGCTAAATTTATTTGAATTTTGCACAGATTGTATATTGGAAATATTTTAATGTGATATTTAAAAGCACAATTAAGTTCTTTTTTATTACTTTTAACTACTCTTGCATGCTAAGCTGATGAAAAAACACTACAATCTGTCATTTCAAAGGAACTAAAGTGTGGGGGAAAATGAAAATGGAAGTAATGGTAAAACACTAAATGTTTACACAAACAACATTAAAAATGACTACATCCAACATTTCCTATGGGAGATGGAAATTCATTTACCAGAAGATTGTAAGATTTGAGTTGCAGGTTTTGCCTCACTCATATTAAATGGTTACTTACCAATACTGAGATCAAAATGACATTCTTTTGTATTATTTTAAAGAAAATACAAGCACTTAAACATTTATGGGAGAGAGAGAAGAAATACTTATAAAAAACAATGTTTTCTGGAAAGCTGATAGAAGAATTGGGGAAAATATTGTTCAAATAACCATTTGCATTATTGAGGTAAAGCAGATTTCAGCTCAACTATGTGGATTCTTACCAATGTTAATTTTCAAACATTAAACAAGTAAATCATAAACTTTAGGGATCAACAGATTAGGGGCCTTCAAGGAGGTCTCTGCAAATTCTAGAATATTTTTCTTTAAAACACTTTGATTTCCAAAGTCGATTGTTACATGGCTTTTATGAGAAAGAAATTCCCTGGAGCAAACAAATAAAACTTTATGCCAATGGCTCACAGTAAAGAATTCTGGCCTAAAATTAGATAACTGAGGATCTGTTAAAATCTAGTTCTATTAGGGTGACATGAGTTCAGCCACCAAGAGAAAAGTTTCCATTACTACTTCAGCTTTGCTGCACAGTTTGAAATAGAAAAAAGGTTCAGATTGTATTTGTGTAAGGTTTATAAGTATTACCCCAATCTCTGCAAAGCTTTAAAGCTGAAGTGATTATTAAATTATAGTTTGTTTTAGTCTATTTTGGTTAATTAACTCCAAACTGGAGAAGTCTCCCACCATCCAGGACTTGCTGCATTGTTTTGTGTGGGAGAATATTAGTGTAGTTAAAATTCCTAGCTAGCTAACTATGAGAGATTTTTATAGGTATGGATTAATAGAAAAACAGGCAAGGAAGTTAAGATTCCTGTTTTAGAACCCACTATCAATAGCAAGCCAATGAACTTCTCTTGGACTATTTTCCTACTTAACAAAATGGTTGTTAATCTTACCTTTCTTAACTATCATGCAGGTATAATCCAGCTGGAGGATGTTTTTTTTTTTTAAGAATGACGCACAGACAAAACCCTCTTTCTGATGGAATTGTTATTACCAGTTCAAGAGCAAGCAATAAGCCAGGAGTTGCCACGTTTTGTGCAGCAGAGCAGGAAAACACAGGCAAATGTTAAAAAATCAGTCTTCAAAGGGAAGGGAAGACTGGAGGGAACTGGGAAGGGAGACATCTTGAATAGTATTTGAGTTCCTGGATCCAACCATGCCTGAATCTATCCCTGAAGCTTCAGTTAATTCACCCAATAAATTACCTCTTTTAATTATGTCTCTCCTTCCCTCAAAAACAGTAAAAGAAGAGTGGCACAAAGTTCACCAGGTTATACAAATACTAGGTATTGCATTTCTTTATTTTTACTATGCCAATTCTAGGCTATTAATTCCATATTCCAAGAATAATAAGCATCCTGGCATAGAACCACCACACATTTATGTGCCAGTGATCTAATAATTTTATTTTTTAAAATGATGTTGACAATAATGGCACATGAGTACAGCCTTCTTTGCATTTTCTTAGTTAAAAGACAAATGTGAATGTGAAAAATAAAACAACTTTTAATCAGAGAAAGGCTTTTTTTTTTTTTGCATGTACCTCAGATATATCTGGGTTGGGAGTGAGACAGAGTGAATCCTAAGCTTAAAAAATTGTATTGCAAATAAAGAAGGTGGGACATAAAGTAATTAGCTAAGTGGTTATAGGAGTTAAGTTCAACCCTTCTGAGAATCACCTGTTAAATTAACGAGTTATTTCTGTAGACTCTGAAATGCTGAGTAGCAGAACAACCTATTTTGGGCTTCCAAGTCTCACACTCTTGCTGTCACTACACCTACAATTTCTTCTGTTATGTGAGTGATATATAGCTGGAATTACAAGTCTTAGACCTGCATATGAGATATTGTGTTATCATAATTAGTGTGACAGCCTTTCAGTCATTGCAAATATTTTGTTCAGTAGCACAGGCACCCTACAACAACCTGGCCCTAAATTATTAAGTGATGTAAGCTCTTCACTTCCTCTTTAGAAAGAACTAGAAGCATAATGTGTGCTATAATCTGACAGGTTATTTCATAGTAAGAGGTATGATATGGTATTGGAGATGCCATCAATCAAGATAAAAATCCTGTGGAGGATGAAGAATATGAGAGACAAATATCTCCTGGGGATGAAGGTAAAAAGACTCAGACTATCTAATGAACCTTGTAAGGAAAAATACATGCTGCTACTAAGAGAAAGATGCTATGCCCTTTGTGAGGTGTATGCTAGAGCTTTTTCTCACTCTATGATGGAGTTGCAGTGAAGTTTCCTGGGGAAGTAAAAGACTCCAACTCTCAAAACAAGCATTTAAGAGGAAAGAGAACCAATTTCCCATAATCCCTCTAATGTCTGACATGCTATACACTTTACAGAAGAGCTTTTCACTTTAAAACGGGAATATCAGCATT